TTTTATTATTTTTTTGTTGTGTGTGTGTGTGTGTGTTGCCTGCATGTATGTGAGTGTACCTGTGTCATGCAATGCCTCGGAGGTCAGAGGAGGGCTTCAGATTCCCCTAGAACTGGAGTTAAGGACAGTTTGTAGCCGCCATGTGGTTGGTGAGAATCAAACCCGGGTCCTCTGCAAGAGCAGTCAGTGCTCTTAACCGCTGAGCCATCGCTCTTTTTTTTTTTTTTTTTTTTTTAAAGACAGGGTCTCACTATGTAGCCCTGGGCTGTCCTGGAACTCACTATATAGACCATGCTGGCTTGGAACTCACAGACATATACCTGCCTCTGTCTCTGGAATGCTGGGATTAAAGACATGCACCACCATGCCTGGCTAGCCTGCCATTTTAATATACATTCCATAACATGAGTAAGATTGAGAATTTTTACTTAAGAGCCACTTCTATTGTTTTGTTGGTATTCTTCTTGGACACTTTCTGTATTTTTCTAAAAAATGTGTGGGGATGGTCTATACAGCAAGGATATTAATGCTTTCTACTATATGTCACTGTGGTTTTGTTTGTTCATTTTGTTTTATTTTCTTGAGACAGAATCTTGCTATGTTGCCCTGGCTGGATTGGAACTCATGAGGCAAACCAGGCTGGCCTCCAACTTGTAACAATTCTCTTGCATCTGCCTCCAGTGTGCTATTATAAGCATGCATCACTGCATCCAAATTATTGTCATTTTTTTTTTTGCCAAATGGTAACTTGTCTTTTAACTACAAAATAAATTCCTATTCCTACCTTAAAGGTGCTGACCAGGAAGCAACTTTTAATGTAAGAACCACTAGCATATTTTGTATCACAATATACTGTGATATTTTTGAAGGGACTGGAGAGATGGCTCAGTGGTTAAAAGCTCTGGTTTCTTCTGCTCAGGATCTGGGTTTGATTCCCAGCACCCACGTGGTAGCTAACAACCACCCATAACTCCAGTTCCAGGGGCTTCAACACCCTCTTCTGACCTCCACGGGCATTGTGCAACATGGACGCTCTTACACACATGCAGGCAAATACACTCATACACATAAAATGAAAATAATAACTAAAATATTCAAAAAATTGTTTTGAGACAAGTCATGGTAACAACTCTTTAATTTTAGAAAATGAAAGTATGCTCTGATAATTCTTACCAAAGCTAAAATTGTTTTTAAAATCTAAAATACTAATGTTGAATATGAAAATATTATTGGTATATGGTTAAATATTTATCTAAATGTTAAAAAGAGACTGTGTTTACTTACTTTCCAAAAACAGGACTGAGTTCTATTAAGTCTTCCAATGATGGCATTTGGCCCAAAAGTTTCTTGAAGACTGCCAGTGGGAAAGGTATGTTGGCAACATTGCGGTTAAAAAGGGAAAGTCCACAGAGAATCCCAAAGAAGTAGTACCTCTTCTCCTCAAATTTAGGCTGAAAAGAGAAAAATAATCTTTTCTCCTATGGGCAAAAGGGAACGCCAATTTAAATACATTATCAGCTTATAACAATCGAAGATTACCTCACAATCACATCACTACCTCATCTCCCAGTATGAAACAGTCTGCAGACTTAATTTTCTATTCTTGTTTCTCATAAGCCAAGAGAAGAGAACTTACCCTGACAGGAAACCACATACAGGAAGCCTCTTCAGGATATGTGAACATCTCATATTCTGCATGGGTCATCGTTTCAAAGAGACAGTCAAAGAACTCTCTCTGAACTCCTCCCATGCCATATCCAATTTCTCCATCAAAGGAAACCTGAAGAAACACAACAAAATATTGTGTCATTTTCAGGGCTTGTACTGGTATATACAAAGCCTTCTTTACTTAACAATTATGGATCCAAGTTTTTGGTAGGCACTATAGTTAAGTAACTTACTCCTCATCTATAATATCCCAAGTAATTCTATGATGCTAATGAGGCTTTGAGAATTTAATGAACTTTCCCAGGTTTATGCAACATCCTGGAAGTACATTTTAAATTTCCTCCTATGGTTGTCACATCTCAGAGCCTATGGTCTTTATCACTAAACTATCACTGTCATTATTGTAGTCATCAGATCCATGAAATATAAAGAAAATAGACAGAAATGATAAGTATCAAGATTTTAATAAAACACACACACACACACACAGAGCGGGAAATAAGGTATCTGTGAACTTTACTGTTTGTTCTTTGAAGATGCAGCACCCACTTTTGATAACCACTGCTCTCCTAGATGATTCTATCCAGGCCATTGATGATGGTCAGTCTTGATGGCCAACTTGATGAGATTTAGAATCGCCATGGAAATTAATCTTTGGATATGTTTGTGAAAGATTATCTAGATTAAGTTACTTGAGGTTGGATGATCATCCTAAATGTGGGTGATACCATTCCATGGGTTGGGGTCCCACACTAATAAAAAGGGGACAACATAAAAAGAAGCCATCACTTCCTGCTTTCTGACTGGCACAATGTGACCAGCTACATCCGGTTACTGGTGCCATGCCATCCCTACCATGATGGACTGCGCTCCTTGGACCGTAGCCAAAAGAAACTCTTCCCTCCTCAAGTTGCTTTTGCTGGGCATTTTGCTGCAGCCATAAAACACATAGCTAACACATCATCTCTTCTCCTTCAGTCACCTCCCTGCTCATTCTTGCCTTTCTTTCTTAGAAGCTTTAGTTTGGGTTTACAAACATGATGTGGTCTCTCTTATCCTCAAAAGGAAAAAAAAAATCTCAGGATTGCCTTCAATCCAGACAGGTTACCCCTTCTATTCTAGGATGCCCAACTTCTGAGAATGCATACCAACTTCCAAACTCTCGTTTCTACTTAGATGGTTCCACAAGATCCACTAAAACCAGTTTGTCCAAGGACCTTCTCACATCGCCTCCTTTTGATTTTGACAATACATTATACTCTCTTCACTGTACCTTCTTTCTCTTTCTTTATTGGTAGGGGGAGGAGGGATAAAGTCTCAGGCAGCCTAGGCTGACCTCAAACTTACTATGTAGCCAAGGATATTCTTGAACTCCTGATGCTCCTCCCTGACCCAAAATGCTAGGATTACAGGTCTGTGCCCCATGCCTGGCTACCTATCATTTCTCTTGTTTTTTCTTATGAAGCATTCTTTTTTTCTAACTTAATTTTAATTAGTTAATAAAAATTTATTTATTAATTTATATTAATTTTAATTTTTTCTAATTCTAATTTCTTTTTCTTTCTGCTGCTGGCTTAATTTTAGAATTTCTTGCTGTTCTATACTAATTCATCTCTCTGCATCTTCCCTAAATGTTTTTTTTCCATTTGAACATTATGTACTGTTTATATGTATTTAACCTTTAGATCCACTATGTTTTCTCTTTGAGCTGACAAAGGCTTACTTCTAAAGGACTGCTCAACATTCCACCCACATATCCCACTAACACCCCAAATAGCTCCTAACTGTTTTTTTTTATTTGGGTGCCTGCCTCTTCTGTTCCCCAGAGAAGTAAGTTTCAGGGAAATACTGAAATCTCTTCAGTAAGACCAGGGGTCTGGTACTCAGAAATCTGCTGGTCTTACAAAGTACCAGTTTCTCCATAAGCTCATTGAAAGATCAAATGGAATAACCTATGTGAGATGCCTCACGCAGAGTCAAGAGAATGGTGAACGTTCACTGAGTGTTACGTGTATTGAGAAATAGAAAAATGGTAATCCAGGATCTCCTCTGTTAAATATTATTAAATCAATCTTTATTTGTCAGAAGTGGGAAGTTTAGTGCCTGCTATTTGGGCCCAAGCCCTTGGCACTGATACTTATCAATTGTGCTGCTTTTGGATAAGTTACCTGTACCTCAGCTTCCCCATCTGTAAAGTGAGGAGAAATTAGTACCTACAGCACAGCATTGCTGAAGGGCAACATAGAAGGTGTAATGAATTTTTAACAGTTCTTGGCACAAGGAAGGCTTTCGACAGTGTACCTACTGTTACTACTCTGTGTCAAATGCCAAACAGAAAGATTATATAGCATGCTTAAGGAAAAAATCATTTCTGAATGTTCATTACATTGTTAAATGTACAATTATATCATGCCCCTACCATTTTTGTAATAAGTCTCTTCTTCCACAAGGCAACATGGATTCCTGCATCAGCAGAAACACACCATTATGCCCTGTGCTGACGCCCTCATCAAGCAACTATTCAGACTGGGTGAGGCCTTTGGAGAGACTAGGCTGTATAGGGCTAACACTGGACTAGCTGCCTCTCTGGGGTTGGGGGGAGAATCATCTCACACACTGGTTTGGTTCAAGCACACTGAGTAAGGACCCATAGCTACTACTTGAAACTCAAAGGGAATTGGGGAGAGCTCGCAACAGACTATCTTTGTGACAAGAGGAGATCTTTTCCTTTATCTAAGACCCTTTGCTCCTTTCTTTTGTGTTTTTCTTCATCCTACCACAAGAATATTAGACAAGAATGATACTTTACCCATAACTCCCTCCTCAGGTCTTCATTTTCAACTTGGCTTAGCTGATTCAAAACATCATCAACCAAATGATCCCTTCTGACTTTAAGATTAAAGGTGGCTGCCAAGGTTAAACCAGTCTCTTCCAGAATTCCTTCAAAATTCAAACCCGCTATAATCTTTCTTTCCTAAGAAAACAAAAATGTTTCATTTAATTTTCCCATTTGCTTTCTTAAAATAGGAATTTAAAAAATGGAATAAAACAATTCTGTTTCAAAAGTGCACTTTGCATTTATGATAACTGCCTGACATGTACTCCTGGTGGTAAATGTTTGCTCTCAGCCAGCAGAAGCATGCAACCTATGTAATTAGCTACTTTGATGAGAGAACCTGGGTGAGCAGGGAAGTGGCCAACCACAGGCTTCATTGAACCAATTTATCCTGTCTGCATAATTATTAATACTTAAGCCACCAAAGATAATTATCCCCAAAGGCTAGGAGATTTACCAGTATCTGCTGGAACAGGGCACTTCTCACGCAGAAGAGAAGCTTGGGTGTTTAGAAAGAAAGGAAGCTACAGGATAATGCCAGACCCCATTAATCAGGAAGCTAATGTAAGAGAGATAAGGAGGAAAGGAATGTGGGAGATGGGAAGGGAGAGGATGACAGAAGAGGGAGAGAGAGGTACAAGAGGAAGGAGAGAGAGAAGGAAGGGAAAGGAGAGAGGAAAGAGAAGGACAGAGAGAGGGAGGAGAAGGAGAGGGGAAGAGACAAAGGGAGAGAGAGAGAGGGAGAGAGAGGGAGAAAGAGAGGAGCTTGAGGGAAAGGGAGAGAGAGAGAGGGAGAGAGAGAGAGAGAGAGAGAGAGAGAGAGAGAGAGAGAGAGGAGGTGGGGGGATCAGTCCATTCTGAAACCAAATGGCAATTTGAGGTCATTGAAGTCTGTGGTTCTTAGTAGAATGGCAATGAAATACCAGTTCTATAAATTTTCACTGGAAGTTTGTGCAGATTTAAGGGGACAAGGTTACAGAAATGGATACAAAACAAAAATATATCACATTTTTTCCATTTCTTTTGTTAAATATCTCATTTATAGTCATATTTAGAACTTAGAAATCAAGTTCTTCTAAAAAATACTTTTATTGGGAACTAATACTTTTATCAGTGATTAAGAGCACAGGCTGCTCTTGCAGAGGACCTGGGTTTGATTTCCAGTACCCATAGGTGGCTAACAACTGTCCATAACTCCAGTTCCAGGGGTTCTAACACCCTCTTCTGACCTCTGTGGGCACAGTGCAACTTGGGTGCACTTACACGCATGCAGGCAATACACTAGAGGCAGGCGGATCTCTGTGAGTTCAAGGCCAGCCTGGCCTACCTAGTGAATTCCAGGACAGCTGGGGCTACAGGGAGACCCTGTCTCAAAAAGACCAAAAAAAAAAAAAAAAAAAAAAAAAAAAAAAAAAAGATAGTAAACAAAAATTTAAAAAATAAAATAAGTTTTGCTGAGAATTTCATACAACGTGTTTTGATCATATTCACCCTCCACTCCTCCCTCTAACACCTCCAAGATCCACCCCCACGATCCTACTATTTCCCCCAACTTTGTGTCTTCTTTTGTTCTCCAATTTGTGCTGCCCACATACTCCTGGGTGTGGGGCCACCTACCAGGACTCACATCTTTAAAGAAAATCAACTCTCCCTCCCCCAGAACCCACCGACTGTCCATAGCACCTCAGTTGGAGATAGGGGCTCATGAACCCCTTCCCACTCCATGCTGCAGTGTTGACTGGTTGCTCTTGTGTGTGCACACAGCTGCTGTGAGCTGATGAGTGCAGTGGTTCTGTCATGTCCAGAAGACACTGAGAAACCAAATTCTTATTTTATAAATGCATTGTATGAAATTATCTACTATAAGGACATATATTTGTGAATTATACATAACCATGAACACTTTTAAATACTTTATGGAAGGCTCTATTTTGAATAGTTTACCTATACTAACAAATTTAATCATAAATATGTAACAAGGTATGGATTCTCTGTTGTATGTCCTTAAGCTCCTTGTTTTACTATTATTTATTTATTTATTTATTTATTTATTTATTTTGTGTGTGTCTGTATGTGTATGCAACACGCATGCGTGTGGGTGTAGAAGCCAGAGCACAATTTTTGGGAGCTGGTTCTCATCTTCTACCTTGTTAAGGTGAAGTATCCCTTCTTAAAGATGGCCTAAGAGTTTCCTGATGAATCTCCTCCTGTCCTGCCTCCCACCTTGCTAGTAGGAGAGATGGGATTACAGATGTATGCTACTACAGCCAGATTACTTTCGCTTTTTTTGAGACGAGATCTCATGTAGCTATTTAGCTCAGGTAGGCATTGATTCACTATGAGCCAAGGATGGTCTTGAACTCCTGTTCCTCCTCCCCAACCCCCAAATGCTGGGATTATAGGTGTGTGTCACCATGCCCAACTGGCATTTTTAATTGTCTGATTATAAGTCTCAAACTACTTTGAGTATATACCGACAAACAGAACCACTTCAGCTGGTAACACTACATTGAAAGCACTAACTTTTACAAATCTTAATTATGGTTCCATAAAAATATCAGCCATTTATGGGATCCTGATTTCAAGAATCCTTTGCAATCTCTATTCTTGCTACACATCTTTCATTCTGCCCAGGTTTCTACATCCCTGAGTGCTACAATTACTGAGCAGTCTCCTTTTCACAACCAAACACTGCACATCTAAAGCTTTTATCATGTGATGTATGCTAATGAAGACACCCAACTAGGCATACATACCTGCATTTTAAGAAGAGAATCTGCTTGCAGTAGTTTAATTTTTGATAGAGTAGTAAAGATAAATGGAAAATGACTGAATATGATGCAGCGTGGCGATTCTGCAAAAGCATCCTAAAAATGAAAATTATGAGAATTCTGCTTCATTGAAAGACAGAGCCATCTCACACTTACTTTACAGCTTTACTGTTCTTTTGTTTTAAAATCTCAGTATTTCCAGCCAAAGGAATCCTAATTGTTGGTTCTCATAAAGAATCTGTTTAACACTTACTAATCAAAGGTGCATAAGCCTAGTACTTCCAATGCCCATTTAATTTTCAAATTTAATCATAGAATTCAGATGCTTTCCCAGAGTCTATTCTGCTGCAACCCAAGTTTTTGCAAAGAGAAATTGGTTCAGATGTACTGGGTAAATGAAGATGGTACAATGTGGAGGGCTGGCTAGCTTTTACATGTGCTTTTCCAGGGAAGGACTGACTTGCTAAATGTAATAGAAGACAATCTTTAGGGAAAGGAAAATTACCTCAGGGCAGCTGCTGTTCTGACAAAAGCCCTTAATTGTATTTAAAAAAATAATTTATTGAGCGTTTCATACATGCATATAAGGTATTTTGATCAAATCCATGCCTACTCCCGCCCCTCCCCAAATTCCTTCTATGAAGCCAGCATCACAATGTCCTTGGGCCCTTTAACTGTATTTTAAGGAAGATTTTTAAAACCTTGCCTTTGCAAGGACCCCTAGCCCAGAGCCACAACCCAGCACCTGGGGCATCACAAGATCTGCTATGGCCTCTTCTTGGGCACCAAGGGTTTATGCTGTTTAGCGCCCTATGTCCTTCTCTCAGGAGAGGATGAACAGGTTTCTACTTTTTAAAAGACTGCATGGTCCCATATTCTCATAGCTCCTCCCATCATGTGCTTGCCAGAGTGGTCCAAGTTTTCTTCTAGGTAGCAATCACTTTCTGCATTGCCCCAGCTGCAAAATTGCAGACATTTTGAGTCCTGCTTTTTCCCACAAGACCTGGTATTTCAATTACGCAATTTTTCAGAGTACTAGATTTTACAGAAATTCATCGAAAAAGTTATATCATACATTTCCACATTAACTCAATGATGATCAAGTTTCCTCTTTGAACATATTGTACTTACTAAGCTCATTTTGTAAAAGGATCTTCTGAATGCTTCTTCATTAAAGTTGAGCCAGCCTGAGAGTTTATCTACTTCGAAAATATTTTCAGGCAGTTGGTATTTAGTCTGGTTTACCTTAAATAAAACAACCCATGAGAAGGTTTTATTTTATTTTTATTTTTTGTGTATGAGTATATTGCCTGCATGTATACAAGTGCACCTGTGTCATGCAATGCCTACAGAAGTCAGAAGAGGGTGGTGGATCCCCTGGCACTGGAGTTACAGACAGTTGTTAGCACCATGTGGGTGCTGGGAACCAAATCCAGGTTCTCTGTAAGAGCAGCCAGTGCTTTTAACTGCTGAGTCATCTCTCTAGTCCCCAGGTTTTATATTTTAAAACAATTTTATCAGATAGCTCTTAATTAGATTATCTGAACAGTAAATTAAACACTTGACAACCAGAATAAAATTCTGTTTAATTGCCAAAGCCCCAAGTTTTATGAACATAACGATTATTGATGATGTGATGACAAACTTCTAGTCACTTTTGATTCATAAGAAAATCTTAAGTCCAAAAGCAAGTAACAGTTCAGTGTGAAAGCAAAGTACTCTGAGGCCCTGTTCTTCACGTTTAGTCTTTACAGCTTAACAATATACCAGTCAAAGACAGTCTCCCTGCCGAGGTGTATGCACAACAACTTCCCTATGAAAATATGGGAGGAATTACTAGCCTGCATCCCATGAAATGATCAAGATTGTTATGACACATTCATACACATGAAGATTTGACACAGTTGATGATGCTGAAAAACAGTGACACTAGGTGCTTCAGACATTAAATTATTAATGTTCAGACATTCGATTATTAGAGTTTGACTTGGATGAGCAAACATAGTCTTGGCTTAAATTACTAATTCTCTGATATTCTTAAAACTTACCCTGGTTAGGAACTGAGGCCATTCATCTAGAATAATCTTACTGACTCTCACTCTGATCCCAGATAATTCAGTCCTACTATTACTACTTGAAGCTATTTCACCTCTGTGGCACACCAAATTCCCAATACCTGAAAACAAAATAACCTTCAAGTCATGAATTTAAGCATCATCAGGAGCCTGGCAGCCACCAACTATCCTTTAAGAAACTCTGAGCCAGACATCTGGGAAAGATGGAGGAATATAGTTTGGGAACTAAAGGGAACAGTATTTTATCACTCCATCTACTTCTCCTAGAATCGACTTGATCAACCTTCCAGGAAACCTCTTCTACCATCAGACTCACAGACTTTCTCCACAGACTGGACTTGCTGCTGTGACAGCACCGAAAGCAGCCACCACTGCCATAGGGGCATTTTCACCCCGGCAGCCAGGGCTAACGGACTCCAATCTGCAGATCTTAAAAGCAAGTCAGTAGAGATTTTACAGAAGGGATTTCCAGTGACTGCTCCAGAGCCACCATCAGAAAAGGTAAAGCTGTGGCAGCCAAGCACCAGCTCTGAACAGTGCTGACCCTGTGGGAACCCAGCAAGTATAGTGGGCTGCCCGGCTGTCCACAACTCGCAGGGCAGAGTCAAGTAAACTCCACATACAGGGTGATCTAGGTGCCCACATAGAGAATGGGTCCATTTAAAAGCAACATGGAGCACAGCCTGAACCAAGACCAAGGAAACAAAGCGGCCCATCAGCCAAGGAAAGGAAAGCAACACCCAGGCCAGTGATCTCATTTTCTCCTATTTCCACTCAGCACTCCTTCCCTCTGGGGCTATTCTTCATCTACCAGTGAGTCCAGCGCCTCTCTGGACATTTGCTTTTTTAAAAAAAATTTATTGAAGTTTTGTAATTTCATACAACAGTTCTTAATCAAATTTAGACACCCCCTCCCATCCATGCCCCCATCCCCCCACCAGACCTCATGTATTCCGCCATACATGTTAAGTCCCATCCAGCCAAGCATTTGTACCCAGATGTCCTTCAGTGTAAATTCATTCACCGGAATCTAGTTAGCCCATCTAGAGGTCATATGTAAGGTATACTCTCCCTCATCCAGCACCAATCAGTTTCCAATAGATCTCAATCTAGGGCCAGCCCCAGACCCTTTTCTCTCCTCCCCTCTGGGCCCTTGTTTAATTGAGTTGGCATGGGCCCTGTGCTCGATGCCACCATTGCCACAAGTTCACATGGAAGCTTTCATATAAGCAGAAGCTTTCGGGCCACTCTCTGGCCATTTTTATGTCCATAGCACAGGAGGGCTTTGCCTCAGGCCAACACTGTCCCCTAGTCCCCTACTGTTCACACCTTTTACATACACACTCTCTCCCTGTCTCTTTTCCCCTTGTTTTCTTCTCTTCCTTGCCTCTCTCTTTTCCCATACCCATTTCTCTTAATGTTACAAAGCCCAGAGCTGGATCTGCTTTATGATGTCTGATGACATTTCTTTACCTCCTTTTTAGTCTGCCATTAACCAAAACTCCCATATAGCCACCCAATTTTTTGCCTTTGCCTCAATTATTCCCACTCCTATGTATGTCCCCTACCTCCTATCTAACAACCTAAAACTTACTGAAAGTGAGACCTGCCTTGCTGAGTTACCTTGCCTGCATGTTCTTTGTGCAGTACGGTAGGGTCTTTGGCCCTCAGATTTTATTTCAAACAGTTAACTACTGGATAGTGTGTTGCTGCAGACAGTAGTCAGCCCACAGGAGCAGACTAGAGGTACAGCCTGGTGCCCAGACACCAGTTTAACAGATGAAAATATAAACACAACTGTACCACAACCTAGTCTCTCCTGAACACTGAAAACATATACATTGAAAGAAGAGTCGCAACCTGAATTAAAAGAACAAAAACAAGCCAGGCGTGGCGGCGCACGTCTGTAGTCCCAGAACTTGGGAGGCAGAGGCAGGTGGATATCTGTGAGTTCAAGGCCAGCCTGGCCTACATAGTGAGTTCCAGGACAGCTGGGGCTACAGGGAGACCCTGCTTCAAAAAGACAAAAAAAAAAAAAGAACAAAAACAACAACAAAGCTTAATCAATGATCTAACTCGATTGGCAGATCCCAGCACAGAAACACGAGTGACATAAAAACCCAAGTGTTGTAGTTTGGCTTCTCTGTGATAAAACACTGACCAAGAGCTTACACTTCCATGCCATAGTTCATCACTGAGGAAAGTCAGGGCAGGAGCTCAAGGCAGCAGCCTGCAGGGCAGGAATTAAAACAGGGACCATGGTCTTACTAGCTTTCTTCTCTGGCCTGCGCTCAGCCTGCTTTCCTAGACAACCCAGGACCATCTTCCCAGGAGTGGTACCATACACAGGGGGCTGAGCCCTCCCATATCACTCAAGAATCAAGAAAATGCTTCATAGATGGCCACAGGCCAATCTGATGGAAGCAATTCTTCATTTGAGGTTTCCAAGTTTAAAGAAAAAGAAGCCCAACCAGATACAAGAGGCACATAGAATACCAAACAGATAGGACCAGAATACAACATCTTCATCTTAAATTATTGCCAAAACATTAAATGTACAGAACAAAGAAAGGACATTGAAAGCTGCAAAGTAGAAGGACCAAGTCCCCATGCAAAAGCAGACCCATTAGAATAATTGTTGACTTTTCAATCCAAACCATAAAAAGCAAGAAGGGATTGGACTGAAAGATCACAACTGCTAACCCAGTCCAGTACATCCAGCCAAACTATCTGTCATAATTGATGGTGAAAGAAAAACTTTCCATAATAAAAGCAGGCTAAAAGAATTCATGCCCACCAGCCAGATCTATAGAGGATACTGGAGGGAATGCTTCAGTCTGAAGAAAAGAGTAAACACACTCAAGGGACCACAGCAGGAAAATATATGATATTATGACACTCATTAAACAAAAGAAGAATAAGAAAGTCCCAAACACTACAAAATCAACAAAATGACAGGGAGCAATACATACATTTCAGTAATAACTATGACAACAACAATAACACTGACAAAATTAATGATTTCAATTCACCCATCAAAATACACAAACTAACAGACTGGATTAGAAAACAGCATCTTCTTTTTTTTCTGCCTCCAAGAAACATACCTTATTCCCAAAGACAAACACTATCTGAGGGTAAAAGGATAGAAAAAAAATATTCAAACATATGTAAACAGGAAACAATCATTGCTATAAGTATCTGACAAAATAGGCTTCAAACCAATTCTTGTCAGAAGAGATAAAGAGGGTTACTCCATATTGATCAAAGAATCAATCCACCAAACAGAAATTATAGTTCTAAATATATATACTCCAAATATAGACTGCTCCAATTTAGTAAACCAAACACTACTAGATGTAAATCACAGATTAACCCCAACACAGTAATAGCGGGTGACTTCAATACCTGACTCTCACCATTAGCCAGATCACTATACAAAAAATGAATAAACACTGGAATTAAATGACACTCTACCTCAAATGGACCTAACAGACAGCTACAGAATATTCTACCCAAATACCAAGAATACACTTTTTTCTCAGCATTACATGGAACCTTCTCTAAAACACATCACATAGTAGGACACAAAGTACGCCTCAATAAATATAAAAAATTGAAACTACATCCTTTTTCTGTCTGACTACAATGAAATAAAGCCAGAAATCAACAGCAAGAGAAACTACAGAAACTATACAAACTTATGCAGATTAACCAACACAGTACTGAATGATGAATGGGTCATTGCAGAAATAAAGAGGAGATTTTAAAAGTACCTAAAATTGCTGGGCGTGGTAGTGCATGCCTTTAATCCCAGCACTTGGGAGGCAGAGGCAGGCAGATCTCTGTGAGTTCAAGGCCAGCCTGGTCTACACAATGAGTTCCAGGACAGCTGGGGCTACAGAGAGACCCTGCTTCAAAAAGACCAAAAAAAAAAAAGTACCTAAAATTAAATGATGATGAAAAGACAACAGATCCAAGTCTATGGAATATAATAAAACTCAGAGGCCGGGCGTGGTGGCACACACACTTGGGAGAAAGAGGCAGGCGGATCTCTGTGAGTTCAAGGCCAGCCTGGTTTACATAGTGAGTTCCAGGACAGCTGGGGCCACAGGGAGACCCTGCTTCAAAAAGACCAAAAAATAAATAAATAAAAAAAATAAAAACCAA